AGTTTATATAAAGAAAATCCCCTAAAAACATGATCACCATCATGAGTATTACTGCTTCTTAAACTCATGTCTACTTTACCAATTAATGTAAACATCAACTTATTCAATCAAATGAATGGACGTGATAGACGGCCCAGCACATAGATGTCGTCTATAATTTTGAACCAGGAATAACTGGGAAGTTAAGAGAAAAGAGGAATATCTCATGTGAAGCCTACCTTCCATTTGATAGCAACAAGCATCCCTCATATAGTCTTCTTATTGCCCTTTTTGCAGCGTCAATTGTCTTGAATATCACCAAAGCTTCACCTGGATAACGACCAACATGAGATGCCATAGTAAGATTCCTTGTTCCAGTTGTAGATTAAGATGGGAATAATCAAAGAAGGCAGTGACGTTCTATTGTCAATTTATGTCGGCCACGGTCGCTGTAAAACCAAACTGAATAGCATCTTAACCCTTGCCAGTATGATAGTAGACTTACCAATATGAGGAATGGTAGCTGACGTCCGCTCTATAATCCTCGCCGTGCATTGCTCATTCAAATCAGAGTAGACTATATCCTGAAGCATCATTCATAAGGTATTGAGCGATGACGGTTACATCAGTTAAGCAATATATATAGCCTTAGACTCCTAAGGAACAAAAATCCAAATTGGATAATACCTCCACTTCTTTAGATGTATAAGTCGGGTCCAAGTTTCGAAGGAGAACCAGATTCCCTTGCTCTTCTGCACACCTCACATTTTCTTCCCAAGGCTGGTTATGATTTAAACCGATTAAAAGTCAGTGCAGATGTAAAACCCAGATAGCAGTTCTTGATATGAGTTACAAAATCTGATAACCATGCAGACTAAAAGATTCTGCAATGGTCAGTTACAAAAGGCCTGGATGTAGAATTAAGTAGAGGACATCAAAGAAGCAATTTTATCTAGTTCAGAGAGTAAAAATGATCAAAAACGAAAATTTTTACTAACTAACCTATAACAGATCAGTAGAACAGAAAAACATGTCACTCAATTCACATCAACGAACAAGAAATACTTACAAGATCTCGGTACCATTTGTTTTCTTCCTGCGATCAAGTAAAAGGAAACCAAAAAAAAAAAAGGTTAGAGGGGCATCCATGTCTATGAGCACTTTAGTACAAGTATTGTGACAGATATAATATGACAGAACATCGCTAAAACACACTCACGGGACTGCCTAACAAAAATACCATTTGTTTGAAGTTTAAGTTGCTATACAACCCCACCCTTTTTATCTAAGGAAGTTTAACAAACATACTCAGTGTGAAATTCTGTAAGCAGCCAATTCTAGACCAACGTCATTCAATATGCACCGTGGTTCCCATACTAATATAAGACTTACCGCATCTGGCTTTTGGGTCACTTCAAAGACTCGATAATGTCTTCTGTAATTTGCATCGGTCAATACCTTCCCCTCAGTGAGTTTTGATTTACAATCAGAGTTGGGTTTCTTGAAATAATCTTTCTCAGTTGCAAGTTTTGTCCCTTTCCCTTCCGAAAATCTTGGTATCCGCAGATCTTGTTTCTTATCAGTGTGGCTAGGCTTCTGGGAATAGAGTTCCCCTCCAGCGACGTTGTCTCTAGGACTTCTGATAGGTTCAATATCTTTTCTACCATCATGCCTTATTTTCTGCGACTTTTTTGGCCTTCCATCTGATACTGCAACAGAACCATCTAGCTCCCGTTTCTTTTGAGGTATGTCATCAAAACAATATCTTTCCTCTTGAAGCCTTAATTTTTCCCTTCCATCTGATACCGAAACAGAACCATCTACCCTCCGTTTCTTACGAGACAAGTCATCCAAACGGTAAAAATCTTTACTGCACCTTTCCTCTGCAAGCCTTGATGTTTGTTTACTCGAGTGCTTTTCAGCTTCACTGTCTTGGTCTTTTTGATGGCAATCATTTCTCCGGGAACCAGAATCGATACAAAAGTAAAGTCCACCATCACGCCGACCAGAATCCTGGTTAGCCCTTTCTTCAGGAACTGTAGATTTTTTCATAGCCAATTGTTTGTGACATTCATTATCTTTTTCTTTCTTGTAGCCATAATCGCTCTTCCTATGACCAGAAAAATCACTGCCTTTACATTCATTCTGCCTAACTGAACCACTGGTTGAAGGAGGATTTGGTTTCAAACTATCTGCAGTCCCATGTACGTCAGTTGCAACTTTCTGCACAGCACTAACTTTTTCCTCACAATTGTGTCTGTTAAAGACAAATTCAACTGCAACAATTGGAGTGAAATGAAGATATGAGGTAATAAAGAGTCAAATAGCTATCAATCACATAACTGACTATGAAGAGGATTAACTGAAACAAAACAATATGTACCATCAACTCCAGCAATTTTATCATCCATCTTTTCTAAGATTTTGCGACTTCCAACATCAAATGTTCGGTAAAAAAGGAAGTCGGCCAACTTGATTTCTTCATCTGAAGGTTGAGGATTTCTTATGTCCTTCGAGATGCATAGAACATTGCATTTCCCACAAATTGCTTCCTGTTGTAATCATGTTATATCAATACAATAATAAGCCATTTTAAATCAATGACAGGAAGGAGAAAGAAAGGTATCAGGAGAGTAAGCAAGGAGAAAAAGCAGAATCAGATGTTTCAGTTTGGCTATGTCTAGACTATGACTGGTTGTATTAGATTGTTGGGGTTTTAATGGGACGGTCTAGACTCGTATTGAGATGCCATGATCAAATAGAAACACCAAACACACGTTTAACAAGGAATACGCGGGATCAAAACAATAAAAAAGAAAGAGCAAATTGAGTTACCAATCGGTTTTCATTGGTGAGGCCAACACCTGTTCCTGAAGCCAAAAACAGTTCGTTGGCAAGTGCATCTTGAACTCCAACATACAGCGAAACCTCAGAAGGTTTGAAGAACCAGAGTAGCTCGACTCTCCTCGAGTTTTCACGCTGATCATTGTGTTCCCACAAGTTGATGATCTTGCCAACATATAACTCTGAGGAGTCTGGTTTAGTGGCATCGCCAATTAAGACACAGTCATACAGACAATATTCAGAACCACCATAGGTGAAAGATTCATAGAATTGGACATCCTTCATTTCTTCACCAGTTACTCTCTTTTTACCCCACTTGAATTGTTTATCTTCACTTTCTGCTGCTTGTTCCATTCTCTACAGAGCAGGTTTCCCCTAATAAAATGCAGCAGAAGAGAACCCCCAAATCAATATTGTGCGTGTAAAGGCAGTGATAAGTTTCTTCAAGGAACACCAACATTTAAGATCCACTGATTAAGAATTGCAACATACATGATTCATCTTTAAAGAAGACC